CCCCAAAACCCCAAAACCCCAAAACCCCAAAACCCCAAAACCCCACCTCAAAACCTGCAGATTGGTAACCAAGCATGAAATGATATAAAGAGTGTTTTGGTACCCAAATTAATAATTTTAAAATTCTTGCCAAATGGAAAAAGAAAAGTACCCCACTGACAATATTGATGCCATCAAGCTGACTAATGAGACGAGGTTTGATAAAGGTATTTTTAATGATACTTTCTCTATTATGCCCCCTCCTACTTGTAGCTTGCCTGGGAATACTCTTATGTATCATTTTGTGCTTCAAAAGATACAAGAGGGACCCCACCTTTTTAAATTAGTCCTCTTTTTCATAAAAACGAAGCAAAATTTATTTTCTCCTTCACAGTGAAGGAGCTGTTTAGCCAAATTCCGTCCAAATTTTTCAAAATTGATATTTTCTTTGATTCCCGCCTAACACTCCTTTGTAGACTTAGTCACAATTCCTGATGCCAATTATGATGACATCGATTACGTATTCATACCAGAAGGACTTGTCAAAACAAGAGTGGAGAAGCTAGCAGAGAAAATATTCCTTGATTACTGTGGAAAGAGAGACTCTCCTCTTAGAGTTTTTGTGATTATGAATGGAGCTTTCCAGTTCTACACAGACCTGCTGTACTATATCAAGAAGTTCCAACAGTATAACCCTCATAAGTTCTCATTCGAAACCGATTTTGTAAAGATTAAGGGTTACGTCAACACTGAAACCCGTCTTGGAGAGATAGATCCTTCCTGTATCACCGAGGAGATGGTCAAAGATCAGGATATCTTAATCGTAGAGGACATCTTTGACTCTGGGACTCTTATGAGTAAACTCCTAAAGCTTATCAACTCCCATAACCCTAGCAGCGTAGAAGCTGCTGTACTTATGCATAAAGAGAACCCTAAAAATTTGAAACATAACTTTGTGGCCAAGTACACAGGTTTCTGTATTCCTGCTGATAAGTTCATTATTGGATATGGCATGGACTACAACGAGTATTTCAGGGATCTCCCACATGTCTGCATTATTACTAAGAAGGCAATAGAAAGATATGAAATTGTAGAATAGGGCTAGCAAGCATTATGTAATGGAGCCATTAATTTCTCTTAATTTCGAATTCAACACAATACGAATAAGGTGGGGTTTTGGGGTTTTGGGGTTTTGGGGTTTTGGGGTTTTGGGG